ATATATATATATATATATATATATATATATATATATATAAAGATTGCTCAAAGTCTTCAGAAAAAAAAAGAGGCTGGGGGAGAAAAGAAAAGAAATGCTCTGTTATGGAAATTGGGGTGATTGTATCTTCTGTGTGGAAGTAATTGTATAGAAATCACTGGACTAAGATGGCTGGGTTCAAGGCTGAACATGCTGCTAAATATCGATGCTCTCAGTATTTCTTCTGTGAGTGATCCAGGCAGACCGGGAGAAGTCAGTAGAGGGAACAAGCCTGTGGGCTTGGATGGAGCATCTTGCACTAGATGAACATAGACCTGCACTGAGTAAGGCAGCTTTACCATTTTGGGAACGCAGAATCTTTTTGTTTTCTCCCTATTCCAGAGACGCAGTCTGTAGGTGGCCATGAAGTCCACAAATGAAGATACTAATATTTTGTCAATGATTATGTCAATAAAGCATTTGTTAAAAGACAAAAAAAAAAAAAAAGATTCTTTGTGAAGCCCCTTTGAAATCATTTACCCTGAACTTGAAAGTGATTGGCTTTCTCAAACACCCAGCAAGGCTTTCAAACTGAAGGGCTCCAGCCCAAGGTGGAGGGGACAGCATGTGACGGGCTGAAGCGAATGCTTTATGTTTAGGTGGGTTTGAACACATCTAAGGCAACTATGACTTTGATAAAGAATGTCTTTTAGGGGGAATTACAAAGATAAGAGCACAAATTTGTATAGCATAAGCTTATGGAGCATCTTGCTGACTTAGATATTGCCACAGGAGCAATACTACTGAAAGGAACCACGTTCACTTAAAAGGAAACAGACAGAAGCTACACAATTGAGCCCTGGGGATATTAAAACATTACCAGTGACCAGGAAGGCAAAACCGAAGAATCATTCATCTTCTAGTTTGATGAGTTTTTATTTTGTAATGAAATCCTTTGCTGTTCTCTGAGCCCCGATCCTCAAGATATCCTCTACTTTCTCTCTTCACTGCCATTATTAAGCAACAAACAGTTTCGAATAATCAAATATTCTAGTCAACGGGGACCTGCCATATATATTGTACATAGAATGCCAATTAAAAAAGAACCTTTTACAATGAAAGCACACACTAGCATTACATTCATTCTGCAAAACTGAAGTGCTGCTAACAAAAGAGAAAATTGATGCTAGTCAAAGCAATAGCTCTCTGGGCCCCTGCCCTGCCCCCCTAAAAAAAAAAATCCCTCCCTGCAACAACACAGAACAGAGTATGTCTACCCCAGGGGATTGGAATTGAGTACAACAGTTGAAAGACTCTTGCAGAGAATTAGATTTGAGAAGATGATTATGGTTTATACCAAGATAGGTGTGGTGAAAATGAGGAAGGATAGTCAGAATTGAAAGATACCTAGGCTATAAATTTTATCAGACTCAGGAGTGTGGTAGTGAGGGTGGAGTGTGGAAAAGAGGAACCAGACAGCAAGCCAGAGCCTGTGGGTGAGAACGCTGGCTCTGGGGAAAAGATAACAAAACAGACATTTTTGCATTCCAGACACACATGGGAATCATGGAGTTGAAATGCCTGCTGGCAGGTAAATAACCAGGTGATTATTACCATAGCTCATGAGTGGCGGTGGAGGTTTAGAGGAGTGAGTGGGATTTCCAAGCAACGCTGCAGGACGAGGGAACAGTGTGCAAGTTTCCACGGACTTCCTGTTAAGGTGACAAACCGAGTTTGATTGGAGCACTGGGAGGAAAATCTGAAAAATGGGTCTTTCAGAAGTAAGAAATGATAGAGTGAAGACCTCGGACGGCTCATTTAAGACCTGTAATTCTTAGAGGAGCTACTTTTCTTTGGTCTTCTAATCTCCGTGAAAGTGTGTCCCCAGTAATTTACACCTTCTCCTCCATTTCTTTTTTGGTCCATTCTTCTTGGTCGGGGAATACTATGGAATCCAGTAAGATTTGGACTTCTCCTGACTTTTACGTTTGTGGCAGTAAGACAGAAAAGCTGGAGGATCTGCCCTCCTGTGCACTAAAACAGCCTGTGGGCAATTGACCCCGAGCGGGTAGAAAGCTAAGCTCTGTTGTGGTTTGAACTCGAAATCTCCCCCAGGGGATTAGGTGTTTGGACACTTGGTTTTTGCTGGTTGCGCTGTTGGGGAAGCTGTGGATCTTTCAGAAGGTGCAGCATTGCTGGAGGAAGGGAGTCAGTGGGAGTGTGCCTTGAGATGGCCTGAAGCTGTTCTCTGCCCTTTACACGTGTATCATGTCATTCAGGCACCTGTAGTCACACGGACGAGCACACATAGACACAGATCCACCACATCACACACCACATACGCGCACACGAATATTGTATGTTGCAAAACAAGACATGTTGATGATTAGGGGGAAAAGAGAATAAAGACAAATCAAAGCCTCCAGTGGGAAGTCACATAGCCAAGAATATCTGATCAGAATGAATTGGTCTTGAAGGACAACAACCCCATTCAAACAGAAAAACAAGCAACCAAATGAACAAACAAACTAAACACAGTACAAAGTTGGATGGGTAGGAAAGGGGGTGAGTTGGGAGCATGAATATAATCAAAATATTCTATGAAACTTTCATAGAATACAAATTACAAAAAGAAAAGAAAAGAAAACAGATTGACATTATCCTGGGCTGGCGACATGGCTCAGTATTACTTGGCACTTGCTGCTAAGTCTGGTGACTTAAGTTCAATTCTTGACATCCATGTGGTGGAAGGAGAGAACTGTCTTCAAAAAGCACACATGTGCACACACCCCTTTATTCTAATGATTGTTGATTGTTCCAAGTGGAAATAAAAAGACGTGGGGAAAACCCAGAAAGCTTAAACACACTGCAGAATCTCCAAGAAAATCACAAATAGGAAAAAAGAAAAGAAAAGAAAAAAAAAAGATGAAACATGAATTATGGTAAAAAATACTGTTAAGTTTATTATAATTAAAATTATTGCTTCACTCCCCAAAGGATTTACATATATATAGTATGTGGTGTGTGCGTGCCTGATGGATAACTGTGCATCATTTGCATGCGAGTGACCTCAAAGATCAGAGAAGGGCACTGGATACCTTGGAACTGGAGTGGCGGGCGGGTGTTTGTGAGGTACCCTGTAGGAGCTAGGAACTGAAAATGAGTCCTTTGTAATGGCAGCAAGTGCTCTTAATGGCTGAGTCAAAGCCCCAACATTTATTTTATTTTTATTCTTGTTTGTATGTGTGTATGTACGTATTTGGGTGTGTTTGCTCACAAATGTAGGTAAGTGCACGTGCGTGTCTGTGTGTGTGTGTGTGTGTGTGTGTATGTGTGTGTTCGCTCAGATGTGTGAGTACATGGGAGTGTGTTTGTGTGGGTGTATGTATTGTGCGTGTGTTTGCTCCCATGTGTGGGTGAGTGCATGGGAGTGTGTTGTGTACATGAGCATGTGGAGGCCAGGAGTTGACACTGTAATAAATACCCACTTCATATTTTTGAGCTTAGCTTTTTCTGAACCCGGAGCTCACTGACTTAGCAAAACTGCCTGTCCAGCAAGCTCCTTGTCCCTCCTGCTTTCCTAGAGGCTGGATTTCAGGTGCTGGCCATCATGCCTGGCTTTCTGCACAGGTTCTGGGATTCCAACTAAGTTCCTCATGCTTGTGTGGCAAGCAAAGAACGACCAAGCCGTATCCACAGCCCTTATTAACGTTTGTTTAATTTTCACTTAGTGAACAGCCCATGGCTAGGCCTTGGAAAACTTACCTTATTTCCCACAGTTTTGTAACTAAAGACACTGCCCACAAGGCCAATCCTCTCTCTTCCTGGTACATAATTTTATGAGAAGAAATTATTTATTAAGAGATCTTTAGAATGCAGGAACACCAATCCTCACCTAGATTCTATCGGAGTATGTCTAATCACTTAACTGAGTATATTTAAGTGGATTTTTTCTAACCATCATTCCATATGATGACATTTTCTTCCTCTTCTTGTTATTTTAATTTACAGTGTATCTCCTATGCTGAGTGATGTTAGTGGTAGGTTACTGTTTTAGACTAGCCTCTTGCACAAGGTTCTTTAGACCAAGGAAATCTGGAGTCACTTGTACTGAACGCTTAGTGTTCAAGTACATGAAAAGGGCCACGTATTCCCTAAGGAATAGAAAATTTCAATGTTACACAACAGGAAATACTCTTTACATTAATCCTATAGAAATTAATTTCAAAATAAGCAATAAAGGGGCTGGAAAGATGGCTTAGTGAGAGACTTTGCCTCAGAAGAATAAGGTAGACAATGTAGGAGCAGG